GGGGGGTTAAAAAAAATTTGGGGGGGGGGTTTTTTTGGATTTTGGGGGATTTTTTTTGGAAAAATTTTGTGTTGGGAAGGGGGTTTGGGGGGGAAAGGGGGGGGTTTTTTTGGGGTGGGGGTTTTTTTTTTGGGGGGGGCGTTTGTTTTTGGGGGGTTTTTTGGGGTTTTTTGGGGGGGGGTGGGTTGTTTTTTTTTTTTGTGTTTGGGGGTTTGGGGGGGGGGGTTTTTTTTTTTTTTGGGTTTTTGGGGGGGGGGGGGGGGGGGTAGGGGGCGATGTTCGGTCATGCGTTGTCGGACGCACACCGCCGGCCCATGGATGGGCGGGCACGTGTGGCCAAAGCGAGACAGCGGTGGAGGGGGACTGATCCCCACTTCCCGAAACGGCTGATTTTCCATGGCACCATCACCGTGACTCTTTGGCTGGAACACAATGCCGCGGCTTTTGTTGTTGTCAGGCAGCGGTGCGCGGGCTAGGCCGGGTGACCACGTACACGCCTCATAGGGCAGGAGTAGTCACGTTTTGGGGGGGGGCGGGCGGTGGGGGACGACGGCTCAGTAGGGTGCGTGACTCCCGGCACTGGAGTTAAGGGTAGTTTGTCGGGGAAGAGCGTGCCCACGGTGGTGGTCGGACATCGATTGGCCCAAAAAAATATACACGCACTCTATTTGCTACCCGACCCTCGTGCCGAGAGCCTTTGCCGACAGGAAACGGATGCCCTTAGCTCTGCCCTCGTTCATGATCGACCCTCTTATCGCCCTCCCTTCATGGTCCTCGATTTCGGCTTCCAACCATCTGCCCGTAGGCGGCGCTTTTAAGGATGGTTCGGCGCCAGCCTGGGCTTCTGTCCCTCAGCGTGTCCGGGAACGTCCTGAAAGTGACCGAGTTCTTCAAGAAGGAAATGGGGCTCAAGGCAGACCAGATTTCGAAGATTTACTGCTCGAACCCGCACGTGAGGGATATACATATATTTAATATATATAGAGAGAAAGAGACAGAGAGAGAGAGAGCGAGAGAGAGAGAGGAAGAGCGAGAGCGAGGCAGACACCCAACGAAAGAGACCATGTGCTTCAGAGACGAGTATTTAGTCGCGGGATATGATGCACTTTCAGGCCCTATATTTTTGCCATGACGGTCGAAGTTGGACAAAGTTAGGTCGATCACGGGCACGTCAGCTAGTAGGCTGGAATGCTGCCGGAGATAGCTTGGTGGGTCTTGCGGGAACAAGGCACAAAGCCGTTTCGTCGTAGACCTTGCGCACTGAAACCATCTGAGGTGTGCACCCCCGCCATATCCCGAAGCTTCGAAAGAGCCCTGGACACTGGACACAATCACGGACGGCGTAGTTGGAAAAATCGTGTGTGCACATACAACGTGGAGGCTCCAGTTCTCACCACGATGTCAGCTTCTCACGTGTTCGCCTCTTTGGCCTAGCAGGTGCTCTGCCTAAGCCTCGAGAAGAATATCCGGCCCGTGGTGGACTGGCTTGGTGCCCCAGACCCCGAAGCGCAGCAGCAGCAGCAGCAGCAGCAGCGCCGGGAAGGTTCACCTTCTCACTCGGGAACAAGAAACGAAGAAAAAGCCCGCCCGTCGCCGTCGAGCCATCCCCCGCCGGCTACCGCTGCGACAAACGGAGGGGGCGGCGGCGGCGGTTCCGCTAGCGTTCGACAAACGACGAACCCGTCTGGGTTGGACCGGAAGAGTGGCCGAGACCGCATCGCTGCCGCCACCACCGCAGGATTCCCAGATGACGCGGGAGAGTTGACGCTAAGGAGGGCAGCGAGAGAAGAGGTTGCGGCGGTAGGGCAGGGGGCTGGCCCGGAGCCGCAGCGGGCAGAGCCAACGCTGGCGGTGCCGGTGTACACCGAGGGGGTTGGGTGGGGCTGGGGGCTGGGGTTTGGCCGCGAGGAGCGCCGGAAGATCGTTTGCAAGCAGGGGGACCTGCTGTGGAAGAGCGTCGTCGGCAACCTCGCCAAGTCAGCGTCTTGGTTCGTTGAGGAGGTCGGGCTGAGCTGGGATGAGATGCGCAAGGTGATCGTTTTTAGTTTTTACTTGGTTGGAGTGCCAAAATCACTCCACGTCACCCTCGAGAAAAGAAAGCTGCGCCGCTTGCTCTCGCGGTGTATTGTACGGGGATTATTTTTTGTACACGAAAGCACTGCCACACGCACAAAACAATTGAAACAAGCTCAAGGATCAAGCCTTTGCTGTCCCTGCAAGGGAATAACAAGGGGCATCCGGCGTTGCTGTCCCAGTTGAGTCCGTTTCCCCATGCCGCTCAATACTCATCCCAACCTTTTTCTACCGCTCCCCGCCTGCTCTCGACCGTCGATGCTCACGTTTGGATGATTTAACAAAATCAGGTAGTGGAAAGGTCGCCGTCACTTCTGTGCCTAAGCGCGGAACACAACCTAGAGCCCAAGCTAGCGTTTTTAGTGAACGAGCTCGGCTTGGACCCTGGATCAGTCAGGAAGGTTTGTGTGTGTGACTTGTCTGTCTTTGCCGACACATCGACGTCGTCGTCCTCCTGGGGCAGTGATGTTTTTTGTTTTTTTTTCGCTGATCGAATTATCCCTAAGTGCACCCAATTTTTTTGCGGTGGCATGATAGGGTTACTGTCGTGGCTCCTATACAAGAGGGTGCCTTAAGAGGGTGCCTTATAAGAGGGGCCTCCGATATAGGAGGGTCGAGGGCCTTTGTCATACCACCCTCTTTATGTCGGAGCTACGACTGCCGTGTTTGTTTTTGCTGTTGTTGTTGCGGGGTTATCGTTGAGGCCGGTAGTCGCTTCTCTCTTTTTCACCGGTGCTGCTGTTGGTATCCTGAAAAGTGTTTTTGGCCCGTGGGGTGTTGCAGAGGGTTCCTTCCCACAGTGTGAACCGATGGCTCCCGGCATGAGGGGGCTTACATATGTCTGCTCGTGCAGTGTGTGTATCTCTGTGTCTGTCTCCTGTCTTATTCCTGTGTCTTGTCTCATGGTCGATTTCATCCCCGTTGGTTTGTCTCTGCCGGTATCACCCGTCTTGGTCTCCTGTGTCAACATCTGCGCACCCCCCCGCGTAAAATATATTTCTTCGATGCAAATCCTATCTCCAAAACCATAGTCCCACTCCTCCCAAAGAGACCCACCTTTTCTTGCTCTCATGTTTGCCCGCCCTACCGCCCATCCTACCCCCCCCATCCCCCCCCACCCCCCTGGGCCGGCGAAAACCTGGCATATCCCTCCGTCCCGGCGTCGTCCAACGACTATGGCATGCGTTTACGTGAGTACACCCCCCCCCCCCCCCCCCCCTGCTTTCATTTCCAAGATTCCTTAACCCACCCTCCCTCATGACCCTGAATGTTACCCGCAACCCCCCGCCCAAAGGGGCCTTCTTCCCGGACCAACTGGGCGCCAAAGAACGGGACATCCCCCAACTCCCCCACCCATGCCCCCCGGTCATGAACCCCCACCTGGAAGGGCCGAAACTGCCCAAAAAGCCGGTTGGCGGGCGTACACAACCCTAAGTGAAATGCGACGGAAGATACCATACCCAGACCCGAACCGGTTTTCAAAGGTCGACTACTTCCACGACCAAGAGGATGCCGAAATACAATGAATACCTACGTTGTCGGAAAGCTCTCGAAGGAGACGGTTCCAACGCTCTCCTCTTCTCGGCACCGCCGCTGCTGTTTCTACTGCGGTGGATGGAGTACACTACAGTGGCGGCTACGGTTTTAAAGAGACTATTCAAGAGAAAGTACCGGTTTAAGATATTGGTAAACTGGCTTGTCACGACCATGGGAAGTATATAACATCTCACAGTGCGGTCTAAGAGAAAAAAACGGATTTTTTTGAGAGAAATGCTGGCTTGTCACGACCCTCTCTTAAACCGTAGCCGCCACGGTAATCAACCTTTTGGAAAATCGGCCCCAAAAAGGGGTGTGGTATGTAGTGTTACCTACGGTGTAGCGGCTAAGCACCCGGTAAAGGCAGCGCCTCCACCTTTGCTCTCGCCTATCGAGTATTGACCCCAAGCAGGGTCGACTAACGGCGCACTACTCGTAAACGTTCTGCTCATCCGAGTTTCGGGTTCGGCATCTAAAATCCTATCCTCCATGCGCGAACCCTTGGTTTCCTCAAACCATCGAGACTTGAGGGTGTCTCTCCCCCCCATCGCTAGCGCACGTTCTTGAAACACGTGACTCCACCCCCGCCAATAAACAAGAAAACTTCTTATCCGGACCGCCCTCGCAAGGATATGAAGCGGTATTGTTTGTGAACTGGAGAGGGTGGTTTCGTCACTTAACCCTGACCCCCAACCCGAAACCGCATCCCCTGCTAAAACCAAGCTCCTTAAGTGTCCCCGCTAAGGCTACTGCCTCTTCCCTGCCCACCAACCTCCTACGCCCTCTTCCGGCCGAACAACAGGCGATGCGGGCGGCGGGGGCCCCGCCGGCCTTCCGCCACCTCCGCGCCCTCTGCAACTACCCGGAGGACAGGTTCTCGGCCTGGTTGGAGAGGATTGTCTTGGACGCCGATGATTCTTCTTCCCCGGCGACCGCCTCCTCGGCAGTGTCTCCGTCGCGACCGCGGCCAGGAAGACGGCTGGGCGGCGACGCCGACGACCCCCCGACATCCAGCCTGAGCACCACCTCTCTGGCGGAGCTGGGCCTAACATACGCCGCTGCGACTATGAACGCCCCGCGGCGGCAGCGGCGGGAAGCGGCGGGAGCGGCGGCGGGGGAGGCGGAGGAGCAGAGAGCGGCGTTTTTTTTTGCTCCCGGCAGAGCGGAGGTGAAGGCGCTGGTGCGAAAGCTGGCACGCGGGCTGGACGTCCTGGACTTGATGTGCGGGACGGGGGGCTTCGCGCTCAACGCCGCCGCCGGGGGCGCGCGGTCTGTGATAGGGGTGAGATGGGGGGGGGGAGGTACTCATGTTTTGCATGCCTTAGTTGTTAGACCATTGACCAAAAGAGGGTTGGGGCGGGGGGGGGGGGGGCCCTTTG